CATCTTCTCGTCAGACATACCTCAAAACCTTAAAACGAAATTGTACAACCAGTGCGTGTTGCCAGTGATGACTTACGGAACTGAGACGTGGTCCTTCACTGCTGGCCGTATGAGGAAGCTCAAGGTCGCTCAGCGAGCTATGGAGAGGGCTATGCTCGGAGTTTCTCTGCGTGATAAACTTAGGAATGAGGATATCCGCAGTAGAACCAGAGTGACCGACATAGCCCAACGGATTAGTAAGCTGAAGTGGCAGTGGGCCGGCCATATAGCTCGAAGAACCGACAACCGATGGGGAAGAAAGGTTCTCGAGTGGCAGCCTCGTACCGGTAGGCGAAGTGTAGGGCGTCCCCCCACGAGATGGAGTGACGACCTGGTAAGACATGCAGGAAGTCGATGGATGCAGGTGGCTCAGGACCGTGTTTTGTGGCATTCTTTGGGGGAGGCCTATGTTCAGCAGTGGACTTGTGAAGGGCTGTAATGATGATGATGATAAATGACAATTAAACTAAATGAATTTGGTTCCTTTGCGTTATATGGTGTAGGTAGAGCTATGTTATGAAATAACATATAACTTTCTACATTTACCAATGGCACTTGCAACAAAAATATGATTTTATTATTTATAAAATAGCAAGTAATCTTACAAAGTCTTAAAATTAAATGTATATTCTTAATATCTAAAGAAACAGGCAATACTAAATTACTAGGTAGGTACCTATAGTTATCGGCAAATTCTCGGTATAACTGTTGTGGCGTTATAACGGCTGGATGCAAAATATCCTTACTGCTAAACAAAATAGCATTTATTATATCTTCCAATTGGAAAGATAATGTAAGGATTGAAGTTTCTAAACTGTCAAAAATTTCATTAATATTAGCAGATATTTGTAGACCATTAGTTATTTCAGAAATATTTTTAATTCTAATAGAGAGATTGTCGATAGCTACAGTTAATTTTGCTTCGTTGTTTTTTATTTTATTTAATGTATCGTTATAATACGTTATTACAGAGGTAGTAACCAAAATGTTTTCTTTCAGTAAAGAAGCCAGTTGTTTTTCATCATTTTGTACAGATTCTATTGCTTCTTCATACTTTAGAGCGTCATCTTCATCTAGAGTACCAAAAATATGTTTTAACATTGTACCAATACCTCCAAACCAAGCGCTACGCTTGGCTCTGTCATCTAATAAGTGTGAGATGGATTCAAAGTCCTTGTTCAAGTCCTGGTTACGTACCGCTAGTGGTTGAAGCATATTGTGACATTCGGCAATAATCTCTAGAGTCCTAGTCTGGTCACATAGAATTTTAATTGTATCTAACGTGTTTCCTATATTTCTTATGTGGAGGCCAAAATGTGAAATATCTATCGGAATTAACGTTTTCAATTTGGCGTTATTAATTTTTAATGTACCTAAATAATCAAAGTGGATACCTGCACTCGAAGTTATTTGTTGAATATTATCTTGATGCGATTGACCTCGAGTCGGAGTTCTGTAAATAATTACTATAATTAATACTAGACAGAGGTAAGTATTGACTAACCTATAAATATATATATTTTAATAATTATGTTATTTGTGGAAAAATATCAAACAAAACGTTGCAAATTTTAAGAAAAGAGACATTGAACTGCCAACTCATTTATGTAATCCAAATAATATAAATCATTATTTTCTTGAGCTTCCCGGCATTGAAGAAGTCAGTATATCACGTTTAGCTAGCTATGAATTCGATAGATTTGGGTCTAACACTTTTAAGCTTAACACTGTTAATAAAACAGCTGTTCTCAATATAATAAAATCTTTTAAAACAAATGCACAAGGTCATGATGGCATTACTCTGAACATGATATTGTTAACTCTACCCCGAACATTAACAGTTATTACCAGAATAATAAACAAATCTATTGAAACAGGTGTATTCCCAAAGCAATGGAAAGTAGCTTTAGTAAAACCGACTCCCAAAAAGCCCCATCCAAATGAATACAAGGATCTTCGTCCTATAAGTATCCTGCCCTTTATGTCAAAAATTCTGGAAAGAGTAGTCTGTACACAAATGACGGAGTATCTTGAGGCTAATAATATTCTGCCTAAAAAACAATCTGGATTCAGAAAGTCTCGTAGCACTGCAACCGCTCTGATGAATGTTGTGGATGATATTTTGTCTGCACAAGATGTTGGAGAGGGTACTCTGTTAGTTTTGCTTGACTTTTCCCAAGCTTTTGATACTATTAACACCACTCTACTCTTATCAAAACTGGCTTATTACGGATTTGATAATTTAACAATAAAATGGTTTGCAAGTTACCTCACTAGTCGTACACAATTTGTTAAAATAAATAAAAACAATGGATCAGAATGTATATCTACCACGTTGCCACTTCCAAGAGGTGTACCTCAAGGCTCCATTTTGGGGCCAATACTTTTTATATTATATAGCTCAGATATAATGAACACCATAAAAAACTGTAGTTATCATATATATGCTGATGACCTTCAATTGTACATGTCTTTTAAACCCAGTGACACAAATATTACAGTAACAAACATCAATTCAGATTTGAACCACATAGCCGATTGGTGTGATCAAAATAATCTGGTATTAAACCCCATTAAATCTAAGTATATGTTACTGGGAACGCATAACCAGACAAATACTATTCTAACTTTCAATCCGCAAATTAACATCAAGACTAATCCTTTAGAACGTGTATTGGAAGCTCGGAACTTAGGTCTCGTTATTGATAGAAGGTTGCGTTTTGAGGGTCATGTACAAGAAACCATGCGTAACTGTTTCTATAGACTCAAAGTCTTGTACCAGATAAGAGAGTATTTGACAGTGGACATGCGTATTAGGTTGTGTGAAGCACTCATTCTGTCGAAGCTAACTTATGCGGATACAGTATTTGGTGAGTGTTTGCTCGCTAGAACCAAAAGATTAATACAAAGAGTTCAAAACGCCTGTGCACGTTTCTGCTTCACAATCCCTAAGAGATCACACATAACCCCATTTTTAAATCGACACGACCTGATGAGTATTGAGGCTAATAATATTCTGCCTAAAAAACAATCTGGATTCAGAAAGTCTCGTAGCACTGCAACCGCTCTGATGAATGTTGTGGATGATATTTTGTCTGCACAAGATGTTGGAGAGGGTACTCTGTTAGTTTTGCTTGACTTTTCCCAAGCTTTTGATACTATTAACACCACTCTACTCTTATCAAAACTGGCTTATTACGGATTTGATAATTTAACAATAAAATGGTTTGCAAGTTACCTCACTAGTCGTACACAATTTGTTAAAATAAATAAAAACAATGGATCAGAATGTATATCTACCACGTTGCCACTTCCAAGAGGTGTACCTCAAGGCTCCATTTTGGGGCCAATACTTTTTATATTATATAGCTCAGATATAATGAACACCATAAAAAACTGTAGTTATCATATATATGCTGATGACCTTCAATTGTACATGTCTTTTAAACCCAGTGACACAAATATTACAGTAACAAACATCAATTCAGATTTGAACCACATAGCCGATTGGTGTGATCAAAATAATCTGGTATTAAACCCCATTAAATCTAAGTATATGTTACTGGGAACGCATAACCAGACAAATACTATTCTAACTTTCAATCCGCAAATTAACATCAAGACTAATCCTTTAGAACGTGTATTGGAAGCTCGGAACTTAGGTCTCGTTATTGATAGAAGGTTGCGTTTTGAGGGTCATGTACAAGAAACCATGCGTAACTGTTTCTATAGACTCAAAGTCTTGTACCAGATAAGAGAGTATTTGACAGTGGACATGCGCATTAGGTTGTGTGAAGCACTCATTCTGTCGAAGCTAACTTATGCGGATACAGTATTTGGTGAGTGTTTGCTCGCTAGAACCAAAAGATTAATACAAAGAGTTCAAAACGCCTGTGCACGTTTCTGCTTCACAATCCCTAAGAGATCACACATAACCCCATTTTTAAATCGACACGACCTGATGAGTATGGCCGCTAGACGTACTCTGCACCTTGCGTCATTGCTTTTTGGAGTAATAAATACCGGGGAACCATCATACTTGTACCAAAAGCTCATATTCTCGCAGCCTGCGGTTAGGACTGCATCACGACTCACATACCCTAAGCATCACACAGCTGCGTTCCGTGGTAGTTTCCGCTTTGCTGCCACTAAGTGCTGTAATGACATACCCCCACCGATCAGAAATAGTAAATCAGTTGCCACTTTCAAAACTTTATTAAAAAAGTTTCTGATTTCAGCACATAAATCCAGCAAATAGGCATAAATGGTATGGTTCATACACTCTCGATGCTACCACCGTACATGTACTCACTAACGCACGCACATACTCACTCACTCACGTACGCATGCACACATCCACTCTCTCTCTCTTTCTCACACACATACGCATACACACACACACACACACAATTTATTTTATTTTTCTGTATGTATACCACCTTTTGTTATTACTACACTATAAATGTATCACTGGTACATGGAATTTTGACAGATTTGTTCATTTCATTTCATTTTATTTTATTTTACCTTTATTTTATATTTTTGTTAATATTTTTTCTCTTGCTGTTTATTGTCATCTGCCTCATACTCCTGGCTCCACTGAAAATCAGCGTTACGAATTGATGTAATTATATCTTCAATCCGTGACTTAAAGCTGAGTGGAGACCATTTTGGTGCATATTACGTTTATCTTATTATATCTTTTTTAAATATTTTTGTTAAGTTAAAAAAATTGTTCAATTTGATTATTTTTTTGTTTTTTATAATTTATGTGCCAAATAAACTTATTTCTTTCTTTCTTTCTTTCTTTCTTTTTCTCTTTGAAAGGTCAGTATTGATTAGCCTATTTTTTATAACTATATTTTTTTATTAACTATTTTTTTTTCAGATGGCGAAACTATGCTTATAGGTAAGTATTATTAACTTTCCAGACATTAGTCCTTTATTTAGTTTTGTTTATTTTACAGGTTACTTCCGATTTCTGATGCAGGTTTCACCTGATCGAAGTGATGCGTGACATGGCGTCGATTGATTAGTAGGGTAAGTGTATTATTACTATGTACTTTAACTATTTTATAGGGGCCTTTCCAGAGAGGGGAGAGTGCCTTCCGCAATCTCAAATGGTTCTTTATATAGACACACTCGCCGACTTTATATTTAACTGGTCGAGTATGGGTGTCATAGTATGATTTTGAGGATTCCTTTGACTTCCTTATAAAATCTAAGGCCTTCTCTCTGGAGTGTTTCAACCGGTTTTGCAACATGCGGACATAATCGGGGTAAGTAGCCCCTAGAGATTCGTTATAAATGGAATTAGGAATGTATGGTTTACTCCCAAACATAAGCTCGTGAGGTGTGTAATGTGTAGTAGAATGAACGGATGTGTTATAAGCAAGCATGGCGGTGTACACATAACGAGGCCAATTGGACTGTTCTTCAATAATATAAGATTTCAGGTATTCTTTTAGTATTGAATGACTCCGCTCTACTACTACTCCTTGGGTTTGAGAGTGGTATGGTGAAGACCATAAGTTTTTTATTTTAAGGAATTCACAGGTTTTTCTAAATAGGTCTGAAGTAAAATTAGTACCTTGGTCGGTAAGGATCATCTTAGGAATGCCAAAAATTGATGCAGTAAGCATTCGCTAGTTTTTTCAGCAGTGGTACTCCGGATGGGATATGCACAGGAAAACTTAGAGAGATCGTCTTGTATTGTGAGAATAAAACGTAATTTTGCTGGTCCAGCTTCGGGAAGTGGGCCGACGATGTTCAAGGATATTCTTTGGCATGGTTCTGTAGATGTACTGGTGATCTGCATTGGAGCACGGTTGATATATTTCCTAAGCGCTTTATTTTCCTGACATGATTTATATTGCTTTACATATGACTCTTTATCGCTTCGCATATCTTTCCAATAATACGATTGTTTTATCCTGTTGTACATTCTTACAGAGCCTAAATGACCGGCTATCGGAATATCATGGTTTTCGAAAAGAATTTTCTTAATTTCTGTTGGAGCTGGGTATATAATATTGTTATGGTACATATTAAATTTAAATTGGAGTATCATGGAAGAGATAACATAGGATATTATATGTTTTATCTGATATCTGATATAACGAGTTCTTTAATTTCTCCGGAAGTTGTCAATTTATTTCTGATTGTTTTTAACGTTTGGAAAATTTCTGGATAGGAGGCCTCATAAAAATGATGTAACTTGGTGAACAATAAGTAATAGCATTTATTATTTGTTTCTATCTTTATAAATAGCGGTAATGCCGAAACTGACCGACTCATCGACCACGTCGAAATGGCTACAGATTCCTTGCTATAACAGGTCCCATCCGCAGAGATCGTGATTCTTGGCGATTTTAACGCCCACCACGCCGAATGGCTCGGTTCACGTTTAACCGATCATGTGGGGAGATCTGTTTATGACTTTGCCTTGGCATATGGTCTGACACAACTGGTTACTTCGCCTACGCGGATTCCAGATGCGGAGGATCATACACCTTCCCTGTTGGACCTTCTGCTGACCTCTCATCCCGACGGATATCAGGTTTCCGTCGATGCCCCCCTCGGTTCTTCTGACCATTGTCTGATCCGGAACGTGGTGCCACTCACGCTTCCCTCGCGGTTGCGTTCTGCAGGTTGCCGCCGCGTTTGGCATTACAGGTCGAAGGATTGGGACGGAATGCGGTCTTTCTTTGCATCTTACCTATGGGGTTTGCTTCTCGCCGGATAATTCCAGCGTTGTTGCTGACTCTGTCACTGATGTGGTGCTACAGGGAATGGAATTATTTATTCCATCATCTGTGGTACCCATCGGAGGCAGATCTCAGCCTTGGTTTGGTCGCTCCTGTAAGACTGCATTACGCAGTAAGCAGGAGTCTTATCAAGCCTGGGCTGCGGCTTCGGAGATTCAGGATATAAACACCAGCACACTTAAAAAGAGGTATAACTTCGCCTCCAGGTCCTTCAAAAGATTTATTGCCAAGGCAAAGTCAGAGCACATAGGCAGAATTGGCGAGAAACTAGTTCGTCTTCCTTCGGGAACCCGTGCATTCTGGTCTCTCGCCAAGACTGACCAAGGGAATTTCTGTAAGCCATCTCTACCATCTCTGCACAGGTAAGACGACTCACTGGTCCAAGTCACAAAAGACAAAGCCGACCTATTAGGCTCCCTTCTTGCGTCCAACTCGAATCTTGATGATAGGGGGAAAACACCGCCGACCATCCCGCGGTGTGAGTGCTCCATGCCGGATGTGCTGTTCTCACAGTGCTCGGTTCGCAAAGCACTCCTCTCCCTGGACATCTAGAAGTCGAGTGGGCCTGACGGAATCCCCCCAATTGTGCTGAGGACGTATGCTCCGTAGTTGGCATCGGTCCTAACGCGTCTTTTCCGGTACTCCTACTCGCAAGGCGTAGTCTCGAATTCATGGAAGACAGCTTTTGTGCACCCGATCCTTCAAAAAGGCGACCGCTCAGATCCGCCCAACTACAGGCCTATCGCTATCACCTCCTTGTTCTCCAAAGTAATGGAAACGATTATTAACAGCCTGCTCATGCGGTACCTTGAGGATCACCAGCTGATTAGTGACCGCCAGTACGGTTTCCGTCGAGGTCGCTCAGCTGGAGATCTTCTGGTCTACCTGACTCATAGATAGGCGGAGGCAGTGGAGTCCAAGGGGGAGGCTTTGGCTGTTAGTTTGGACATAACGAAGGCTTTCGATCGGGTTTTGCATAAAGCGCTTCTTTCGAAGCTGTCTTCCTATGGGCTTTTCGAGAAATTGTGCAATTGGATCACCAGTTTTCTTGCAGATCGGAGCATCAAGGTCGTAGTAGACGGCGCATGCTCCGATTACAAGCCCATTAACGCTTGTGTTCCACAAGGCTACGTGCTATCACCAACGCTGTTTCTTCTGCATATCAATGATATATTGCAAACCAGTAACATTCATTGCTATGCAGACGACAGCACAGGTGATGCTTTATACACCGGCCGTGCCAATATTTCTCGGGAAAACGTTGCCGAGTACCGGAACAAACTTGTGTCTGAAGTTGAGACTTTGTTGAACAAAGTCTCAGACGGGGGGCGACTAAATCTAGTCCAGTTCAATCCCCAGAAGACACAAGTTTGCGCGTTTACCGCTAACAAGAATCCCTTTGTCGTATCTCCTCAGTTTCAAGGCACTTCCCTTGTTGCCTCAGCCAGTATCGGTATCCTCGGTGTCGACATATCGAGTGACGTGCAGTTTCGTGGTCACTTGGAAGAGAAGGCCAAATTGGCCTCTAAAAAGCTTGGCGTGCTCAGCAGAGCGGGATAGTATTTCATGCCAGCATACCGCCTGCAACTTTCCAAGGAGCAGGTTCGGCCTCACATGGAATACTGTTCCCATCTCTGGGCAGGGGCTCCCCAGTGCCAGCTCCTTCCACTTGAACGCATCCAGCGCAGAGCAGCTCGAATCGTCGACGAACGAGTCCTTTCCGATCGGCTCGATTCATTGGCACTGCGAAGAGATGTTGCATCCCTTTGCATTTTCTTTCGCATCTACCACGGAGAGTGCTCTGAGGAATTGTTCGGATTAATCGCAGCCGCCAAAATTCATGAAAACACATCGCGACAGAACTCCCGATACCATCCACACCATCTGGATGATTGGCGGTCCACCACTGTGCGATTTAGAAGATGTTTTCTTCCTCGTATGACTTTCTTGTGGAATCGATTACCATCAGCGATTGTTCCGGACCGATACGAAATAGGGACCTTCAAGAAAAGAGCCTACTCCTTTTTAAAAGGCCGGCAACGCATCTGCAATTCCCCTGGTGTTGCGGTTGTTTATGGGCGGCGGTAGTCACCATCAGGTGACTACCGCCGCATGCTCGTTTGCCCCCTCTCCTATAAAAAAAAACTACAATTTGCTCATATTAATAAGTAATCTGCTTAAAATTTTATTATTTTCGAAACGGAAAACTTATCATTTTGTACGTAGATTACTCAATAAGTTTTGAGATGTTCGAAATTTAAAAATGGAACGCACCCGTGTTAGGCTAAGGCTAAGCGTCCACTAGGCTCGCCGAGCCGAGTCGAATCAAATTGCAGAAAGTCGCCTTCTATATATTTACAATGAAACTGCGTCCATTAGAGATGAGCCGCGGCGCGCCGAATTGAATCGATCACGCGAATTCCTTGACAGGCGAATGTCATCGCCGATGCGATTCGATTCAACTCGGCGCGCTTCAGTCGACGCGAAGAAGTGGATGCGCGCCAGCGTATTTTAATTAATTACCATTTCGTTTTCATAAAAAAAAATGAATGAAGAACTATTGATATTACTGGTCCAACAATATCTAGAATTGTTTAATCATAGATATCCACATTATCACAATAAAATAAAACCATCTCTTCATTCTAGCTGTCGATGACGCAAACACAACCTATTTTGATGAAGAATTTGCGATAAACGAAAAATTCGATTCGATTCGTCAGAAATGGACGCACTAGGAATAAATGTGACTCGCATCGATTCAACGCATTTCTGCTGTAGTCCACGCAACAATTTTGAGGTGGTTTGCTGAATTCAAAAGGGGTAAAATTAAACTTAAATATGACCAAAGAACCGGGGCCCGCAAACATCAGTAACGGCAGAAAATGTATGCACTACTGAAATGTTGGTGCGAGAAGACTCACGAATCATATCACATATACGGACATCGAAAAGATTGTGGGCATTAGTTCGAGGAGCATTCATACCATCCTACATCAACATCTCTGAATGGTATACTACAGTTGCGTTATCCAAAGCTTTTCAAGCTATGCGAGAGAGAAGACCAAAGACACCCGGTCCTTGGTCTTCTCTCCCGCACAGCGTTCTTCGTCTGTTTTTCGGAGAATCATGCTGCATCACGATCACGCCTCTTCACATACCTCCCTTAGTACAAAAGCATTTATTGAGGAATCTGGTATTGAAACTCTAAGTCGTAGATGCACAGACCGCGGCCCGCGAGCCGCATGCGGCCCGCCAGTCGAATAATGGTGGCCCGCCGACAGCAAAAATAATACTCTCGTACATTCGAAAAATATTGAATTATATTCCAGAATAAAACCAAAAAAAATATGTTCGGAAAGTAATTTGAATCTCGCGCGCGCGCTCTTAAGTGCGCTTATCGGTGCGCCGTACATGCGTCGGTAACAGCGGTCGGTAATGTTCGTGCTGATCTCGGTTAAATTCGTTTTCTTGAGGAACCGCCGCGGCCGGCGGCGCGGCGACGACGGCAGCGCGGTGGCGGCTTATCCACGGGTTATATTGTTAGAGCAAGCGAGATAGCAATAGTACCGAATTCCCGATTGCTCGCGTAGGTAGATACACGAAGCTTCCAGAGTCGATTTTGTGATTTCTCCAGACAGTTTTCGACTCTATACGCGCGGTGTAAAAGCCACGCTAACCGCAGCGACCGACAGTTCGGTTTTAATTTGAGTGAGGTGTAAATAGTTCTAGTGTAGATTTTAACTCGACTAGCTGGCGTCATATATTTTGATCCACATTCAACGTAGATTTCCCGTCAAGTGCCGTGTATAATAGTGTTGTGAAATCGTAAGTAAAGCTCTGTTATTAATAAGTGTTTCCCTACCTATTTAATCAATTATTTTTGGTAATTTAAAAAAGGATGGGTAATTTAAGTAGGTACTGTAATTTTTTTTAGGTGCTGTGTTAATTCTAGCCAGGATTAGAATGCAACATGGACAAGCCAGGACCTAGTAAAAACGTAAGGTTAAAGATGAAAATCGGCAGTGTCAAGAAATTCGGACTGAGAAAT